GCAGCAAGAGCCTGCGGCCTAACGCTCAGCATTGGCAACCCTATGGAGCTAAGGAGATCAGCTAACTCTGACCGGCTGGCATGGATGCGACGCCGGCTTCTTCATAGGATCTGGGATGTATCCGCAACGGCGGGCTGTATGGCGGCACGAGAGGAGCAGCAGCAATTGCGCAGGGGCCGGTGCTAGCTCTAGCAATTTACAGCTACGGTGCTAGCATGGCGCCGTGTGGACTACAAGACGGGGCTGGGAGCCGGAGCTGGTCGGAGAAGCGGCAGCAGGAGCGGGCTGGCAGGAGGTCGGCCGTCGTTTGCAAAGCTGACAGCTGACAGCCCCGCCATCGACTGGGCTACGCGCAACGTGCTGGCGTCGCACTGCCGCTGGAGTAGCTGCCCGGCAAGCCGGCCAGCGCAGCCGGGAGTGGAGGAGCTAGGGCTAAGCAGCAGCGTGGCGTCGCGGGAGTAGCGGCGTACCAATAGTGAGGTCGAAGGTGGGCTATGCGGCTGGAGAAAAATTGTTTTATCCGAGAGGTATGCCTGAGTTGGATTCAAGGGGGCGAGGAAGGCTCATGAAGGAGGTTTTGGGGTTTCAGGGCTGAGGCGGCGCGCAAAGAGGGCAAGCGAATCTGAGTCCCTATCAGCCCGCATGCCCCGTTAAGGAGCCCGGTTAAGAAGTATCCCTGTTGTTACGGCATGCGATGTGTTATGAGGGCAGACCGTATGTTGGTACCCGTTTCTGAAGGAATTAGCCGTTCAAACCCATGTTTGTTGACGAAAGGGCCCCGTCTCGGCATGCCGCTGGGGTGGCCCGTTGAGTGAAGATGCGGGCTAAGGATGGCATGCGCGTAGGGCTAAGTTGGTTTTCGTTTAATTAGGGGGCGGTCTTCCTAAAACCGGGGTATGCCGTCTGTACGTCTCCTCGGGCTTTATGTTGGAGTTTTGATTTTTCGGAAACCATGCCGGATTGTCTGACGGGAACAAAAAACCAAAGGACCCTGCCCCTGATGTTAACGGGCAGGGTAAGAGCGTGTTTTATCGGTTCGGATGATTGGAGAGAGGGGTTATGCTGAGTTTAGGACAGAGCCGTGTTTGTTTGGGGTGGAAAGTCTGGACGTGAATGGGATGGTTGGACTTTGTCTTAAGGGAACCGTGCCCATCCGAAAGAAGGGGAAAAAAAAAGGTTAAACGGTCCCAAAGTTCAGGAAAAAAAACAATGTACCTCGCTTGCCAGGAAGGCGAATGTGAGGCGAGGACGGTTTGGGTAGCCGTGAAAGCTGCAAGTGTTGTGTTATGGGAGGAGAAGCGCTGGGGTACGAGAGCGTTTGGCATGCGTTCCTGAAAGGAAGGGCAACCAATGGCCTATGTTGCGCTGGATGAAGGAGGTTCTTTTGGTTTAACGTCTGGCAGTGGCGGTCGCTGTCGTATAGGTTTGGAAAATGTTGCTGTTTTCGTACTTTGTTCATGCGGGGTTTCCGCCAGGATGGCTATGGGGAGCGCATGCGCTGTTCCTTCCCCATAGCGGGCGGCCCGGGGGCGTGCCGCGGATGCGGGGGAAACGCCACAGCTGTGGCAACCCGCTGCGTTGAGGCGCGTTTTGCCGAGGGGAGTGTTTGATCGCGGCAAGTGGAAACCAATATCTAGGTTTAAACTTGCTATGTTGTTGTTTAAATGTGGCTTTGCAGCGCCCGTTAAGGCGCATGTCGCAGATGCAAGTTCGCGCGGTTGAACCATGGGTCGTTGTGCGACTTGTTTGGTTAGTGTGGCCGAGAGAGAATAAATACGTTTATGGATAAACAATACAATTCTACGAGTCGGTTCCTTCGTATGAGTAATATGAAGGTTGTTGGTACGTTTGCCCGCTTGACGGTTGGCGGCAGTTTAGTCATGTCTGACAGTCGGGCAGGGAGGATTAGTAATGATTACCTAAGGGTTGTGCAGGGCTCGACGAGTTTGCTTCATAGGCCCTGGGCTTGCGCTGATTGTCTTCAATCATTTGGGACGGATATGGCTTTCGTTTGGCGTTGGTTGAGTCAGAAGCGGAGCGGCTCAGACGGAATTAGGCCAGGGATGACGTGAGCCTGGCGTGTGCCGCTGGATAGATGTCGTCATGCTTGTGACGGCAGGGTTGTACGGCGGTTTGGGCCGGCCTTGCTATATAAGGCGGTTGTTTGCAGCTAGAAAATAGGTATGTGTAGGCTGGTTCTGCGTTCAGACCAGACCCAAAGTCCCGTTGCAAGAGCACCAACCGTCGTGTGTGTCTTGTCAAGTGGTTGCACAGACTCCGGCTTCAGGGGCCGATAATCCCTGTCTTCTGCGGAGCCTGTAACGGTCTAAGTGCGATTGTGCAGCTCCCGTTTCTCACAGCATCAGGGTCGCTCCCCGGGACCCTATCCCAGCAGCGGCAGCTTCAGCGGTGCCACAGCAGCTAAGTAACGGCTACATAACGGCTACGTTTCTATCTTTCTCTAACCGGCAAGCGTCAGCAACAGCCAGGCGCCTGCAGCGCCCTGGTCTTAGCAGCGTTATCCGTATCCTGTTTCACCCGATAGCAGCAAAGAACGCTTCCGCACGCGTATCTCTTTAATCAGCAGCAAACTATCCCTCTTCAGCAGTAAAGACGCTTCCGCACGCGTTATCTCTTAAACTAGCAGCGAACTATCCAAAGAACGCTTCCGCACGCGTATCTCAATAGTTAGCACTAAGCCATCCCTTTTCAGCAGTACGGCAGCAGAAGACCACAGGGCTAGCGGTCAAGGGCGCAGTACGTTCGTCCCCATACGAGTGCTGTGCCGCACCTCCTCCTGCTATCACACGTTCCTGGGCATCAGCTAGTTGGCGTGGGCTCGCACTCAGTCGCGAAAAATTTCGGGGTGGTGCCGCCCGCGCCGCTGGCGCCGGGAACGCCACAGGGGGTACATTTATTTTGGTAAACCCCATGATGAATTTTTGGTGGCGACCCCTCCCGGACCCACCCACCCACCCTACAGAACTTCGAACGCTATTTTCTCATACAGCCGTACGCCAAAAAAGACGCAAAAAAGACCAATGGATTCCTTTCAGTGTCCTCTTTCTGTGTATACAACTTGTTGAGCTTTTGCACCTACTAAGTCATGCCATGGTCGCGCCATGCCATGGCCACGCCATCCAACCCTATAGACAGCAACGGGTGCACCGTTGTAAACTAGCCTCATACACACGCACTACTGCGTCAAGACCAGCAATTACCAGCAAGGATTAGCAGGGCTCGGGCAACGTGCAGCGGCTGGCACAGGTGACGCAGCTGCTGCCGAGAGACCTGCCCCGTTCTATTCCCCTCAACCCGACCCCAGAGATGCAGCACATAGGGGAGCCGTGTCACATGGTTAATTTCCCGGCCCCCTTCTGCTTGGCTGGGCAGACCACCTGCGGGTGATCCCCCCCTAAGTGGAGGCACCCGGACCCGCACCCTGCCTGCCCCCCGCCGACCCATATCCGGATCCGCACCCTGCCTGCCCCCCACCGATCCATACGTGTTTTGGTATCTCTCTGACCACCCATGCGTGGTAATGTCATCATGCCATGCCCAAACCATATCAGGAAGAGGCAAAAATGCGTTTATAGAATGCTTACAGTATGTTTATTGTATAAATATACTTCATATTGAGTTTGGCAACGCCATGAAGAAGTTAGGAAGCCCTCGGAAAAAACCCACTGGGCCCCCAGACCCCACCCACCCACCCTGCCGTACAGCCACCTTTGGGCGCAGATAACTTTTTCCGTACAACTCCAATTAAAATTCTGAAAGCAGATTTGGAATGCTCTCAATAAGCTCTTTAACTTTGAATCATGGGGTCTGTCCTCGCGTTTCCTACCCCGCCCCCTGCATGTACATTGCCATATTCAACGCCTTTAGGTCAAGCAAACCCTCCGCTTCTTAAAATACTGTGATTCCTATCCTCTGGAACGCACATTAAACCAGAATAGACTAAACAAATAAAGTCATCCGGAAGGTGCTTAAGCCAAATATCCAACGCTTCGGATGATATAAATGACCTCATCGCCGACAAGTTGTAAAGCTAAGACACGGCACGAATACTACTTATAAAGCTGTACAACACTGTAAGAAAATACACCCAAATCGGGTATGGTATAGTACGGGTATGGCACGTGTTAGGACGAGCTTCCGAGGTCGGGCGCCATGTACAGGGAAGGCCGGGACAATGTTCAAGCACGTACAAAACGCCTCCTCCGGAACTTGACTACGCTCCTAAAGGGGCGAGCCAATGCAAGAGGGACAAGAGGCAAGCAAGCATGTGCGTGCACGGAGGGACGTGCACGGGGTTCCCAAATGCAGACACGCTACAGTGTGGCCGGTTAATTACGGTAATCACGCTATTCAGTGTATGCAACTCTTCTCGGTGGATAGGCTTTAGAGGTCTGGCCTTGGAACTGTACCATCCTAACCGCACGCCCTCAGCGCCTCCTCCACCTTGTATCTGTGTTGGGGTCACGAGGGTTCAGCCATCGAGGTCTCGGCCTTACTCCTTTGCTCGCATCTCTTGCTCGTCCTGCCTTTGTGCGTAACACTTGTCCCACCCCTGTTCACCCTCCAGTTGTATGCGGAACACCTCACCTCCATCCGTGCTGGTCATCCCGATGACATTGGCGCTGATCGGGCGGGCGGCTGCCCAGGCCCCAGGGCGGCCTCCTGGGCGGCATACCTCAGGGAGTATAGGCTTCCTCCCGTGTTGTTTCGCTTGAGCTTCCTCGCGCTAAGACCCAGCTTCCTCGCGCTAAGGCCCAGCTTCCTCGCGCTAAGGCCCAGCTTCCTCGCGCTAAGGCCCAGCTAGATTGGGCTCCCTGTTCTCTAAGGGACAACCCCAGGGGGGTCTCAACAGTGTTCTGGAGGCTTTATTGCTGCTTGTGCCACCATTACCTGCTTCCTTCCCCCATTGCTTTGTCTGTACTCACTGCACCCTGTGCAATTCCCGTAACTGCTTAAGAGGGAGTGGAGAGGGAGAGCTTGGCTTTTTTTGCTTGGGGAAAACGGTGGAGGAGAGGTGGAAGGGGAGGGCATGTTTGTAGAGCCACAGGCTCACTTCAACGAACTCGTTTCTGTTCTTGCCCCTCGCAGCGATACCCCACCATGCATTTACACCACCTACACCGGTCACGCCAAGGTTTAGCACTGCCAAAAGTTGCACCTGGCATCGCTAATAGCAGAACGCAAATGGCACCTCCTCCCTTCAATTTGCACCCGCCTGTTATCTTGCCAACCATTTCGCACCTCAGAGTTCCCTCCAGCCCTTGCCGATTCATCACCCATCAACCATCACCTCCCCACACAACAACACACCACCAACCTGTCCACCGCAAACCAATCACGTCCACGCCCAACCTCCTAGCATCGCGGCTGACCAGCCCTCCCTGATTCCACCACTGCATTGGGCCACACCATCAACACTCCCTCCCCTCCACTACTACAGCCTCACCACCACCTGCTACCCGCCCCTCCCGCGCCACCACCAGCATTCCCTCCTCCTCCTCCCACCGCCCCAAGCAGTCTGCTCACCGCCCCCGCCGCCGCCGCCTGCTGCTGCACCTTCTGTACGGCAGTGGCCCGCTCCTCCGCTGAAGCCAGGTACTCGGACAGGGGCGGCAGCGCCTCCTCCTTCACCTCGCCGCGAATAATCTGTCGGTGGGGGGGCGGGCGTCATGTGGCTTTATGAATGGACTGGTTGTCACTTGTCAGGAATCCAACGCGTTGAAGGTCACCACCCAACCCAACCCAGCAGAACAGTAGCCCTGCTGCACGCGACAACGGAGCCCAACCTTACACCCACGCTCTCCCTCTAGTCGCTAACCCCCACCCCGCATACTGCCCACACGTCCCGAAACCCCAGCCCAGCCCAGCAACAGCACCCAGGACCCAACACGTTGCGTTCCTCCGTCCTATACACGCCCCCTGCACCACCTCCCAGCGCCTCACTTCTACTCTTCACCCTCCCTTGTCTTGCAGAACCCTGCCGCCCCACTCCCCCATTGTTTCGCCCAATCATGGTTTCCTATGGTTCGGTATGGTCTTCTCCCCCCCTTGGATGAACCCCCACCACCCCCACCTTGGATGCCCAGCGCCGCTCCGTGTGTTCGCACACGTCCCGCAGGTCCCGGCCGCTCATGCCCGGGGTGCGCTCCGCCAGCAGCGCCAGATCCGCATCGCTCAGCTGCTGCGCGTACTGCTTCAGGATGAGCTGCCTGCGTGCCGTACGTGTGCCGTACGAACGAACGGGCGGCCGTTATACCGAGGTTCGGGATGAAGAGGAGTGGTTGGATGCAGAGGGCGCGGAGTACCGTAGTTGGGGAAGAGATGTTTTGGTGCATGGGTTGGAGATAAGTCAACCAACATGGTGATCAACACGGATACTAGCTGCATGCACGTTATTTGACAAGGTAGGGAAGGGACCCGCTTGAGGGTAGCTGGACCCATGGGACGGTGTGCCTCTCATTGACACGTTTACGTGAGTAAAGTCCCTGTTGGGTACGGTAGTAATAAGCATTTGTAAGCGCCCCTAGCCATTCACCTGCCCCCCTCCCCCCGTCAATGCCCCCCCTTCTTAACCTCCCACCTGCATGCTGTATCTGGCAGGCCGAAAGTCAACACCAAGTCAAACCGCGACAGCAGCGCTGGATCCAGATCCGTTTTGCGGTTGGTGGCGCCGATCACAACGGTTCGCTTGGTTTCGGAGTCGAATCCCTCCATCTCCCGCAGCAGCACACTGAGCAGCCGCCGACTGGCCTCATGCATGCCGCCAGCCTGGTGGGGGCAGCAGGCGGGAGGAGCAGGTTGTGGGCGGGTGACACAGGATAGGATTAGGAGGATTGGAGTTAGGAGGATAAGTTAAAATACCTTTCCTCACTTCACCTCCCTTCTGCTTATGTATCCACCCATTATGTATCCACTCTCACTCCTGTAGCCATGGTCGTTTGATCCCATGTTGCCCATCTCCCTTCCCCTTCACGCCCCTCCTACCTGGTGGAGCCTACATGCCACACGGTCGGTTAGTCCCTTCCCTCCGCCCCCGCCCCTCCAACTGCGAAACTCCCCTCCCCCCACCACCTTACCCCCTCCCCCCCCCCCCTCACCTCCCTGTTACCCCCCAGCGCATCCAGCTCATCCAGGAAGATGATGGCTCCCCCCATCGCCTCCGCCGCCTTGAACACCGCGCCCAGCTGCTGCTCGCTCTGGCCGTACCACTTGGACAGCACCGCCTCCAGCGGCAGGTAGATCAGCGGCACGGCGGCCTGGCTGCTGATGACGCGCGCGCTGGTGGTCTTGCCTGGGGGGAGGGAAGGGGGAGAAGCCGAGAAGCCGAGGGGGGGGGGCCCAGAGGGGTAAGAGAGGGGACTTAAGGACATGGACGAGGCGAGAAAAAAAACAGTGTCGTGCTTGGATACCGGTATCGGTAGATCAATACAGCCCAAGGGCCGGAAAAGCAGAACCAACCATCGAGCACATCTGGTCCCCAACGACACCACACCCAACCTGTCCCGGCGGCCCCCCTCACCGGTGCCCGGCGGCCCCTCGAACAGCACCGCACGCGGGCGGTTGTTTGCAAAGGTCTTTCGGGTGGCCCGAGCCAGCTTGGCGTACACGTCGGGTCGCAGCAGCGGCAGCAGCAGGCAGTCCTCAATGGTGCGCTTCTGCTCCTCGTAGCCTGGGAGGGAAGGGAAGCCAGGGGGGTCAGGAAGCGGCAGCAGCAGACAGCAGCACAGCAGGGAGGTGCGGGGAGAGGAGAAGAGGAGGAGGAGGGGTACGGCCTAAGGGGTGGTACCGATACTATGGCCATTCGTTGACGACGAGAAAGGCACAGGGGTCTAGGAGGTTTTGCGTGTTTGTGGGCCGCAAGCCCGCAGCACATGGGGGCCAACGGGCAACGGGTGACCAGCAACGTAGTTACCCGGGGGCGCCCTCTGGCGGCCCTCCTCCACCCTTCCTACTGCACTGCCCCCCTACTGCCCCCCGCCTCACCTGCCAGCACGCCCCAGTCCATCTGCTCCTTGGAACCGGGGGGGAACACCTGGGGAGGGAGGGGGGAGGGAGGGAAGGGAGGGAGGGAAGGGAGGGAGGGAGGGGGGAAGGGAGGAAGGGTGGGAGTGGACATCACAGCAGCCACAGCACCACGAAGGGCAGGGCACAGCACAGCACAGTCAAACCGGGTGTTGTTAGGACAGCACAGGGACAGCATTGCGGTGGACCAGCCCCACCGTACCAGGCGGCTAGCACTGTAAACACCCCCCACCCGCCCCACCTGCGCCCCCATGGCCAGCAGCTGCTCTACAGCCCGAGCAGCGGCCGGGCTGCCCCAGTCGTGCCCCGCCGCCCCCGCCGCCCCGTGACCCTTGGGTCGCTGCACCACCGGCGGCTGCTGCTGCTCGCCGGGGAAGTACCCACCGGCGCCGCCTGCAGCTCCGGGACCGCCGGGTAAGGGGAAGAAGCCCCCAAAGGTACCGCCATGCGAGCCGCCCTCGCCGTCCTCGTCGTCCTCCTCGTATCCGCTGTCACCTCCCTCACTGCCCGCGTAGCCGCCCTGCTGTGTGGGGGGTGTACAGCGCAGCGCAGCATTTTAGGAGGTGCAATTCGGAGCCAGGCTGCACCCCGCCTGGCAGACAAGGTCAACCTATGGTCACGGTCAGTGGTTCCTCGCGGCTACGTCGCATGGGTTTGTCACGTGATGTAAGGCGAGTTCAGGCAGATAAATAGCAGTCTCCTACTGCACGTGTGGCGCTATCAGAATCCTCTCCCTCTCCCCCATGCCCCCCCCTCTCCCCCTCCCCCCCCCCGCACTCACGAAGTTCCGTCTTTCAGTTCGCCAGTTTTCCTTATTTTTACCCCCCCGCACTCCCCCTCTCTCACCCCCTTAAACGGCCACTGCCCCGGCCCGCCTCCCCCCGCCGCCCCGCGCCGCATGTCCCTCTGCAGCTCCTCAAACAGATGCCGCATGGGCCCCCCGATGAAGCCGCCGATGGCACCCCGAGCCAACTCGTTGAACAGGTCCTCCATCTCGCGGTGCAGGGAGTCGGAGTCGGCGCCGCCGTGCAGGCCGTGGCGCCTGTGGGGGGGGGGGGGGTAAGGGAGAGGGAGAGGGAAAGGGAGAGGGAGGAGTGGAAAGTGTGAAAACGATGATGGATGATGATGAGGATACTGCTAGTAAGGGAGAAGAACGGGACAGAGGGTGAGGAACTGGGGATAGCGCGGATTGCCGGCGTAAGCAAAAGGGGAGAAAATGGAAGTGGCTCCCCTCCCTGCTTGCCGCCCTCCCCTCCCTGCTTGCCGCCCTCCCCTCCCTGCTTGCCCGCCCCCCTCACTTGGCCTTGGCTCCCCTGGCCGGCGCATCGGACGAGTTGGTTAGGTTGGCTGCCCGCACCACCCGCCCCAGCGCCGCCAGCTCCTCCGGGGTGAAGCCGCTGCGCTTGGAGAGCACCACCTGGCGGGGGGGGGAGGGAGAGGGGGAGGAGGGAGGGGGGGAGAGGGAGAGGGAGAGGGGGAGGGGGGAGGGGTTGGCGAGGAGGTGAGGACAAGTACCGGTAATGGGTGGGACTGCACACACGAAGCAGCTCCAGAGGAGGTCGGATCGTGAGTTTCACAGTGCTTCATTTTTTCCCTTCTCTACCCCCTCCCTCCCCCCCTCCCACCCCAGCCCCCCCACCTGCGCCTGCTCGCTGCCCCCCGGCGGCGGGATGAACACCTGCATGCGCACTGCGGTTTCGGGGCGGGCGGGGTCGGGCCGCACCTCCAGCTGCACAGTGCGCGACACGCCGCTCATGTACTCCTGTGTTGCGGGGGGAGGGGGGCGGGGAAGGGAGAGAGGGGAAAAAGAATAACCAATGTGTTGGGGCGGCGTGGAGAGGGGAAAGACCTTCACAAAAACGTCAAGGACCCCAGCGCAGAGACGTTTCACTACGACAGTGTTTGGAGGGCCATGCCGCCCCCTTTCTTCTCCTTCAACACTCACGCTGTAGGTTGACATTCCTCGGCCCCCGAACTTGCGTAGTTCCTGCGGAGCGAGGGAGCGAGGGGTGAGGAGTGAGGGAGTGAAGGATTCGACTTAGAAGGGGCCTGGTGGGGAAGTTGAGGCTTATCCAAGGAGACGAACAGCCGCACCACCGCACCACCACCACACGGCTCATGCAGGACGCTCCCGTTTGATCCGCAGTACCATAGCCCACCGCTCGCACAGCCCGCCCCTCCCCGCACAGCACCACAGCCCACAGGGAGTCACAAAACCCATACCGGTACAGCTGAGGTGGTCAGCGCCCCACACCTTCAGTCCTCAAGCTCCCTCGCGCACAAGCGACAAGGCTCTCCCCTCCCGGCCGCCCCCCTCCCCTCCCGGCCGCCCCCCTCCCCTCAGTGAGTTAGTTGTTTCCTCTTTACCCGTCCCCTCCCCTCCGCACCCCCTCTCACCCTCAGCACCGCCTCCGTGTCCGCCCCCTCCCGCACCGGCACCACCACCTCCACCGCGTCGTGCACGATGCTCACACGGGGGGCCTCACCCTGAGGTGGCAGCAGCGGTAGTGGGCAGCAAAAGGAGAGGGGAGAGCAGGAGGGTAGGAGGGTGGTCAGGGAAAGCGCGCATGCACACAGGACACGCGGGTGCAAGGCCGGCCGGAACACACGAGGCCACCAGCAGGTCGTGGCAGAGGCGCTACGCAAGCGGCGGGACAGCTTGCAACGCGTTACGGCTATCCCCGCACGAACACACATGCAGCACAGCAACCGGCCGCTGTAGCCCTTCACCCTTCCCCACCTGCAGCGAGGGTGTGCGTGCGGGCAGGGTCGCATTGATGCGTGCCATCTCCTCCTCCACCTCCCCCCAGCTGCCCGCCAGGGACTGCTGCGCGGCGGCCAGCGCGTCTCGCAGAGACTGCGGGTGGTGGTGGGGGGTGGGGGCGGGTATGGAGTAAGTTAGGGCAGGGGGCCGTAGGACTTGGAGTAGGGATGCATGCGGTGGCAGGAGCAGGGGAGCAGGGATAGAGCGATGTCCGAAGTCGCGTCATCAGAGCCCCATCCACGCCCCGGACCCCATGTGCCCCCCCCGCCCAGGCGCCACGTCGACCGCAACCTCCTCCATGCAGCCTGCATGCACACGCCCCACCTGACTGGGACCCGCATCTGCGAGAGCTGAACCGATAACGGTGCCCCATGCTGCCCAACCTAGTGCTGCGGCCGCCGCTGCCGCTGCTGATTCAGATGCAGCAGAGGAGCCCTCGCCCGCTGCTCCCGCCCGCCAGCCGTTCCACCTCCAATGCCTGCCCCTCCTGCCATTGCCGTGGTTCTTACCACCACCACTGCTGCTGCTGCTACTGCTGGTGTTGCTGCCGCTAGCACAACGGCCACTGGTCGTGCCTACCGCTGCTGCTGCTGTTGATGACGAGTATGATGCTGTTGCAGGGGTCGTAGCAGCAGCAGCAGCTTCGGCGGCATGGGTGGGGGTTGCTGATGAACTGTGCTGTCGTACAGCGGCATTGGGCTGCTGGGCTGCTGCTGCTGCCGTGCGCTCAACTAACTGGGCACATGCGGGTAGGCCCGGAACCAAGTATGGTGACACTGCACGAGGGTTGTAAACAAGAGTTAGTAGGAGAGGGTCCCTCATGCCCATGATGGATGGAATGGAGCATAGGCCTCGTTCGATCAACGGCAATAGCAAGCAAACTGCGTGAATGAAATATATCGGCGCTTATGCAGCCAAGCATGTCCACAGCGCTCTTGGAGCTTAATAGGGTCGATGAGCCTGCTGCCACGTTGCTTGCCTGCACTGCTTGTGCGAAGAAGGCTTAGCCCGTGCATCGCCCCCAAGCGATTATTATCTCGCCGAGCAGGCCTTTGATGCTTTAACAATAGACGACGCCAGTGCGAACCCGATGGAAGCACTGATTAGTGATGTCGCTACGCGCCGACTAACGACGGGGTAATGTCCCCAATACAAGAAACAGAAGATGCGCAGTCCACTCTTACTGTTACTTCAAGAACGGATGGCACAGCCAGTGACCTGTCTATGAGTCGCTTTCCTGAAGCTTCCTATTGAAAATGTGAAGGCGCTTTGCTAACATGTGCTAGGAGAAGCGAAATAAGATCAAGTGTACTGACTCTTCGTCGTTCCCTTGTATGCGATGACTGTCCTGCCTTTGAGGGGTTGTACGTTGTTACGGCTCGATCAGGGACCCCAACGAACTACTTCTTTGCAAGGTTAAGAGCAATCAAAAGATAACTCTCTCGCCTTTCCAGTTGCACTACTTCCCCGACTGTTCCCGCAACTAGTGTACACTCGGTCGGAAAGACGGACATCGCAATACGGTTCGCTGATTAACCCATGCAGCTTGAATAGAGAAGACATACTTTAGGTGTCGCTACAAGCGCTGTTGCCTTCGTTTCCCAACGGTGCATGCTTGCCGGCGTGGCATCGGTGCTGCGTGGCGCGTTCCTCCGGCGGGGGTATATGGCCTTGCTGACGACGTTCCAGGACGCTCAAGTAACACTCCGCGGCCCCGGATCCTTCAGCGCGACTCCCAATCGCCGCCTGCTGACCCCTACATCTTCAGCCCGTTTCAGCACCACCACCGCCCCCAACTTTCCTCGCCCGCTAGCCTCCTCGCCTAGCGGCGTCTTCCCTCCTTCCCGCTACACACCCTTTCTGCTAGCGTCCACAACCACAAAATCCGCGTCCATGTCCAGCCCGGTCAATGACATCTCTTCAGCGGCGGCCGCAACGCCTCCACCCGCCTCAACCGTCGAGGTTCGCGACACCGTCGCCCTCACACCCCAGGAGCAGGAGCTGTTCGATACGCTGCTTGCCGCCACACGTCATGCTGGCGTAGCAACGGTGCTGCGTTGCGCGGGCGGCTGGGTGCGTGATAAGTTGCTGGGTCGCGACAGCCATGACATTGACATTGCGCTGGACGACCGGCTGGGAAAGGATTTTGCGGAGCTGGTCAACGACTTCCTGAAGGCGCAGGTGGGAGGTGGGAGGGGTGGGGCGGGGCAGGCAGTGCCAATGTGTGGCAAGGGCTGTGATGTTGCGGTGTTGAGGGTGGCCATGTGGCGTATAGAAATGGGAATGAATGCTGGTTGACTGGCTGGTGGGGTCTGGGGGGTGGTGGGTCTGGCTTGGCAGGGGGTTGCAGTTCCCTCTGTCGCTATGAGCGGCTCGGAACCGTCAGCCTCTCTCGCAAGCTGGAACTGAGGTTCTTCAGGTGTCCATTAGACTGCAGTACCAACTGTCATACTGTCCCGTACTACATGGTTCCACGGCGTTCCGTACCCGCATCCGTACAGGGTCGTGAGGCTCGCCATGCAGCCGTGATCCAGTCCAACCCCGATCAGTCCAAGCACCTGGAGACGGCGCGCATGAAGATCGGGGAGGTGTGGATTGACCTGGTCAACCTGCGCTCCGAGACGTATGCGGCGGACTCGCGCATCCCCACCATGACGTTCGGCACGCCGGAGCAGGTAGGACGTAGGAGACGAGAGGGAAGGAGGAGAGGGTGCTAGCAGCTGCGGAAGAGAGGACGGGAGGATGGGAGGAACAAGACAGCCGGCAACCTGGTTGCAGTGCACGTTGACGCCTTGTGACATTGGCTTTCCACACCGCCCCGTGCGGACTACCGGTACCGGTATGCCCTCGAACCCCGCTTAACCCCTCCAACCCTGTCTCACTGTCCGCGCCCCCCTTCCCCTCCCCGCTGCCAGGACGCGTTGCGGCGTGACTTCACCATCAACGCGCTCTTCTACAACATCACGGCGGGCGGGGTGGTGGAGGACCTCACCGGCAAGGGGCTGCAGGTGCGGAGGGGCGAGGGGGGCTGGGGGGCGGGCCGGGGACAAGCAGGGGTAGACCGGGGGCAGGAGGGAGGCGTGTGCGGGCTGGCAGTGGGTGTGGGGCGCACCTCAGGCAGGCGGCCGGCCGGGTTGGCGGGTAGTATCTAGACCGGCGGTTGGGGTTGGGTTATGGGGTGCGGGGGGGTTAAGGACAGGTTGCTGTGAGGGTGGAGTGGCTGGGCGGTAAGGAGGTGGTAAGGGCATGCCCGGCCCTTCGTTTGCGCCGCGCCCCGTAATCCTGACGGTCCTCCTGCCATGCTTAAAGCCCTCTCGCCACCGCTGTGGTCCCTGGTCCAACCCTGCCGTACCCACCAGGATCTGCGGGATGGCCTCATCCGTACACCGCTGCCGCCGCTGGAGACCTTCCTAGACGGTGCGTGGTTGTGAGCGAGAGGGTACCCTAGTACAACGCTGTAGGGGACACTCCTCAACACCATGCCTCTGGTGATAGTCGTGGAGGGCCTGACCCGTCCGACCTGGAATGGGCCAAGCATACTAGCACTTGACCCTTTTGGGCTGCGCCCCTCTGTGACACACCACCACTCCCGCTTCCAGTATGCGTCTTCTGACTTCCCCTACGCCCTTCCTCTCCTCCCGTGCCGGCGCATGTGTGTGCTTCCCGGCCCCATCCCACGCCTCCCCCCTAGATCCGCTGCGCGTGCTTCGTGCCGTACGTTTCGGCACGCGGTTTGGATTCCGCCTGCATCCGGACATCTTGGAGGCAGCGGCTTCGGAGCAGGTGGGTTGTGGCGGGGCGGTGTTGGGTGCGCAATGCTGGGCGGGTGGCATGAACGTGATTTGGGTGCAGGTGAAGTGGACGAACACTGCTCGGGCTGTTAACAAACAGGGGAAACAGTGCTCGGGCTGAGGATTAGGAGACGGGTTTCTTGGAGGGAACTGAATGATGAAGCGTCGTCTCACATGTTCCCTGACCCCAGCTGACCCCTGGAAGTTAAAGAGGTCATGGCGGACACAAGGAGGCTATCGGTGGCACCAATAGTTCTCTCCTGGAATGGGAGGAATCAACGAACCAAACAAAGCCCCTTACGCGTTGGTCATGAGCACAACTTTTAATCCATACGAACGTCACCTAAAAGCAACGTGGGGGAAGTTTCAGCTGGCTCTGGCTTGCTTCGGCCTCCAACGCGCTATCCTACCTCACTACCAATCCATCTCTGCTGGCCCTCAGTCCGGCATGCATATCGGTACACAAACCCCCACATTGCAAGCCAAACGTTTGTGCATCGCACGATGTGCGCCCTGTCGTTCCTGCCCTGCCAACTGCCCCCTGCACCAAACCCTTCACCTCCATCTCAATGCAACGAGTCGTCCACTGCTTCAAATCCTCTCCCTTCTTAACAAGACATTGTACCTCCATTGATGCACATGCCTGTATGACTGGAACCAGCCGCCGCCTCGAGGTGCGCATGCAAGTGCCGTACACCCGTACTCTTTCCTGTCTTCCTTCCTTGCATCCTAGCGCCTCCATTCGTTCACCCTAGCCGCCTCTCCCTCACAACAAGAACCCCATGCAGCCCTGACAACTCGCTGCAAAATCCCCGCTCGCCACCTCATGCACTCGCACCCCCGGCCTGCGCCTCCGCCTCCATCGCCGCCGGCGCATCCTCTCCCTGCTTCGCCGCCGCTGCACCCTCCCCGCTCCCCCCCGCCGCCCCCCCAGCCGGCACATCCGCCATGATAGCCCGGTACAGCAGCAGATAAGCCATGTGCCAGTCCCCACCGCCGCTCAGCTGCAGCACCTCCTCCTCGGTCCGCACCGTAAGCTTCTCGTCGTCGAAGCACACCCAGGTGCCGTCCGAGGGCTGCTTCACCCATGCCACGTAGTGTCCCGAGTCCGCGGTGCGGCCCTTGTGCGTCACCACACCCACCAACTCGTACTTGCCTGCGGGGTGGTGAGTGCAGGAGAGTGCATGCGCGGGCGGGTGGTGACGTGGGGATGAGTGTGATTGGTGGTTGCGAAAGTACACACACGCATGCATCTACTTGATAGTTAAAAAGTATTAAACAAGGGAGGGACAAAGCAGAGCGAGCGAACAACCTAACAAGCGTTATAGCAGCGTAAAGCGCGTATTACACCCACCCGTCATGGCCTTTGTGGTGCTCCCCGTGGGGCCGCTGCTGCTAGTGCTGGCGCCCGCACCCGCCTCCGCAGCATCCTTCATGTCCACGTCAGCACTGGGAGCCGCCGGCGCTGCAGCTGCTGTACTGTCCGCAGCCCCAGCCGCAGGGCCCTGCGGGGTTTTAATATATACGCGGTTGTCGGCTTTATTAAGAATGCGAACGATGCACCACCACGATTACAACCACCAAAGTCAAGGCCCTAGTCCATGTCCTCGCCCCACATCAAGGCCCACAGCCCCGGTCCCACACCACCAAGTGCCAGGACACGCTGCATACCTTCTTCGCGAGCTTCTTGGCCTCGATGGCTCGGTCCTGCGCCTCCTTGTAGGCCGCCCGGGGCGCGTCCAGCTGCTGCTTGAGCTGGGCGCTGCAGAAGTCGTATGCGTCGAACTCCAGGGAGAAGGGGATCTTCTTGAGGATCTTGGCCTTCTGCTGGTTGTCGCGCCTGGGCGGGTGGGAGGGACAGGGAAAGAAGGTGCACTGCTTTCACAGTGGGAGGAAGACGCTCTCACGCTCATATACACGCCTGAAGGTCAAGTGCCAGTTCTGCGGTCAGTTGAGTCTTTACACACAAAACACACCTGAAGAAGAAGCGCATCATCTGTAGGGTGATGTACGGCGGCAGTGCCGTAAGCGCCGTAGCGCCCTTGAACACTGCCGTACGCCCCAGCTGCGCGCTGGTGCGCTCCCGCTCCTCGCGCAGCCCCACCGCCACTCCCTCGCTCACGTGCGCCGTCTTGTCCTCGATGTTCACCTTGAGCGTGTACGACATGCCGTCCTCCTGGGGTGGCGGTTGGTGTGGTGGTTGGGTGGTTGGTGTGGTTGGTGTTACGTACATATTTGGAATACGTGGCCATGGAACATAAAGTCACGGAAAGGCACGCGCAAACCCGTACAGCGTCCTCCCTTGATGCACGCTGTGGAGTTGACGAGTTGCGGGACCGGTTCTCCCCTAACTAGGGCTCCCCAAACTGAAGGTCCCACCGTGAACTCCTCGCCGGACTCCTCGCACTTGAGCGTGAGCCGAGTGCGCATGCCGAACAGCTTGTCCACCACCGCAGTGCCGTCATCGTCCTGGGTGGGGTGGGGAGGGCAAGGGTGGGGTGGGGACGAGATAGGGCGGATGGGGATGCAGTGAGTGGGATACAGGGATAGCATGCGGGCTGCAAGGGGAGGAGCCGGAGGAGGGCGAAGGCGGTGCTGGGTATACGGGGGCAATGCGCGGGGGTCTAAGGGGGTTGCGGCGACGCGTAGGGGAAATGGGCACATGCACTGGGGTAAATCAGGGTTAGGGTTTGCGCTGTCCTTGTTTCCTCAGCACCCGGGCTTCGACACTGCCCCTGCCTTCCGGACAGCTAGCTGGGCTTCCGCCGGCTCCCCCGAGCTAGGGGCCGCTGACCTTGACCTTCTCGCGCAGGGCGTACATCACGTTGGTCCAGCACTCCTCCGCATCCTGCTGCGAGTACACGCCGCCCGCGCCCTGCTGCGCAAACTGCGGGAACTTGGCGCGCAGCGCCATCAGGAAGGCGTACGGCGGGAAGGGGGCGCCGCCGTTCTCCAGGTCCTTGAAGAGCTCTGAGGTGGCTGAGACCAGCCGGCCGGTGGGGTCGCCTCCCGCGGCCGTACCTTTCTTGTGCAGCGCTTCGCGCAGCGGCTGAACGGCAAACATGCACTGCATAGTGGAGTTCATGTAGCAGGTGTTGCCTAGGTTGTGGAGGCCGGAGCCGAAGCGCTTGGTGTCCAAGTGCTCCTGCTCCGATTCAGGCAGATCTTCCACGAATGTGGGAGCGTTCTTGGGCGCCTCTACTGAAACCGCCTCAGCAGATCCCATCAGCATAATTGTCATGTTCTCCTTTGGAGCGGCTTTGCCCCACTCGTCGTCCTTTAGCAAGGCGCCTTTTAGCATGACCTTCTGCCGGTCTGGCGGCACTCCCGTCAGCGCAAACAGCTGCGACTTGAACACCAATGGCGGCTGAGACATGTCTAGCTCTACGTCGCTGTATGTTTCCTTGCCCCATTTTACATTAACCTTGACTTGCGCCATTTCTTCGGCGGGTCTCTTTTCGGCCGTCTTGGTCATATATGCGTATGAATTATGAAAGCGCTTTGAAATCGGCTGGAGCCGAATAGCCAGTCTACTTGTACAATCGTGACGTTACGTAAGGCCGCGCCGGTTGCTCCCCCATCCGTCGCGATGGCTTAGGACTACACCGTGGCAGAACATACGGGTTTACAGTTGCAACGCTAAAATGAACGGGGAAGCCCAAATGAGGCAATATGATGCGTCTCGTGTAGATGGCCAACCGTCAACATGTGCAACAAAAAGCCCTCTATTGCTGTTTGCCCCCTAGGCCGCGTCTAAGCAATCCTAATGTTCTTGAATTGCTGCCGACTAATTACTGTTGCTCCCACCACGTGCTGTGCTTCCCACGCTACAGGTGAGGGTGGCATTGGCAACCAAAATTAGCAAGGAGCGCGTCGGCACGGAGCTGGAGGGCATGTTCAACGGTAGGTTGTCACTTGTCAGCCATAAGACAGTCAACGTATCTGCTATGATCATTACCACTTAAACCCTTTGTTACACCACCCGATACAACCGAACATCTGGCCTTCCATAGTCCCATTGGCCTCCCTCAGCCAGACGACCACGACCACCACTACCTGCTGCCCCCCTGCTTCCCCACCCCTTCTCCTTTCCTCCCCTTCGCCATCCTGCCTAAACACCGCCAGGCCCAGCCCCCACCGAGGCTGTACGGCTGCTCCACCGGCTGGGCCTCTTTCCCACCGTGTTTGCGCTGCCGCCCCCCCTGGACGGCCGCCTGGGCCCCTCGTACGGCGGCCCCTGCTGCGTCAGCATGGGGGCAGCGGAGCAGCTGCAGCGGGACTTGGGGCTCGAGGTAAGGGAGGAGGAGGGATGCGGGGAAGAAGAGGGAGGTGGGAAGGCGTAAGAGATCGGGCCGTAATCCGGGTTAGCCCTGCTTGTCCTGGTGCGATCCCGCCCATCGTTTCCCAGTCTCTACTCGCTGACGCCGCTGTGCGCTGGAAGGGGCTACTTGACATCCTCATCCCTGTGTGGAAAGTGTCGCACCCGCTCTTACGCCCTCTTGCCTTCTTCCCTCTACCCTACCCTGCCCTGCTTACACCCTGCGCCTACCTTACCCGCTCCTCTCCTCTTGGCCTTCCGTACCTTATGTTTCTCCGCTCCCCACACTCTCCCTCTCCCTCTCCCATGCAGCTTGACAAGGACGAGCGCCGCTTCCTGCTGCTAGCCGCCCTGCTGCTGCCGCTGCGCGGCCTGCAAGCACCCGCCGCCAAGGGCAAGTCGCAGCCCGCCACCGCCGCCCTCATCCGCGATTCCCTCAAGTGGCGAGTCAAGGACATCGAGATGACGGCCGTACTGCATGATACGGCAGCGGAACTCGCGGCGGCGCATGCCGTACTCAAGGAGGGTAGCGGCGGTGCGGAGGGCAGCGGCGGCGGGGTGCAACAGGACGTGCGAGTGATGCTGGGTCAGGCCATTCGCAAGTTGAAGCAGCACTGGAAGCTAGGTGAGCGTTGGTGAGAGACTTGCAGGCGGCAGGCCCTGCAATGCTTTCGTGCTGGCTTTCCCAGGCGTCCCCAGGAATGAAACTTTATCTCAAACCTACTCTGCTGCAACGCTTCTCGTGCTTCAATCCTTTGCTGTCCACGCTACTCCACCACCGCGCGCTATCCATGTAGATGTTAGCCATGTACGTGTTAGCCATGTACCCGCCCGTACCCGTGAAGGCGCGCCTCATTGTCGCTCCACACGCCCTCGCAGGCATCGCACTAGCGCCGGTGATCCTCATGCGCGCCGCCACGCCCCTCGGCACCGACGGCGGCGCTGCCAGCAGCGACTCCGACGCATCCGAGTGCGGCGGCGGCGCCGACAGCGACGCCGAGGCTGCCGTCGCTGCTGCCAGCGCCCGTGTTGAGATGGCTCGTGAGCTGCTGGCGGCGGTGGAGGCTTTCGGACTGTCGGAATGCTGGAGCTGGAGGCCGCTGATGGACGGGAAGAAGGTACGGAAAACACCCAAGGGAAAGCGCCTTGCGGATGGTTTATATACTTTTATTGACGTCTGTTAACCTACTGGTCCTCCGATCTCTGCATGTGATGAATAAGGAGTCGAATGACCCGTGGGTCGCTCCCCTCACAGGTGATGGGCCTGCTGGGTTGGTCCAAGCCGGGTCCGGAGCTGGGTCGGGTGATGGCGGCGGTGATGGACTGGCAGCTGGGCAACCCGGGCGGCAGCGCGCAGCAGGCGGAGGAGATGGTAAAGCAGCGGTTCGGGGGGCCGGCTGGGAGGACGTGAGGTGCGCGACAGAGGCGTGAATAGTAGACCATAGTGGTTGTGGTGGCAGCATCAGGATGGTAGCTTTGCTTTTGGCTTTACTGGAGGGGTTCAGCCGACATGAAGTGTAAGGAGATAAGAGTGGAGGGCACAGAGATGAATGTAGGGAGATGAGAGATGGACGTAGTATACCGGTGGTAGGGATTGTGTTAGCAGAGCGTGGAGGATGCAGGAGGGTTACAGAAGTGGTACGGACCGGTAGTTACAGGGGCACTAAGTTAGCATGATGGGTCGGGGCTGGCTGCGGCCGGGGGCTGGAGGGTTATGGTCGGAGGAGTTGATGATTAGGTACATGTATACGACATGCCTCCCTAGTAGTAGGGAGTGCAGCTGGATGTCCGTCCCGTCCCGCTTGGACTTTGCTGTTTCGGTGTACGCTGAGCGGCAGAGTCTTTGCGGTCGGGCACCTGGTCGGGCAGGGCCTCGTTGGATAGGGCAGCCAGGCAGGATTCCCAGGAACTTGCTGGAGCCGTAACGGAGCCGCAAGGATGTGGGGCTCGTTAGCCGGTTATGGTGAATGATCTAGTTGGACGGCAGAAAGCATAGACGTTTGGGCTTTTGGCGCAGCCTGCGTATGAAAATTTAATACCATGTGGTAGGTTTTCAAATTCTCTATCCAATGGTGTTAAGATTGACGACAATGCGCAGATGGGGCCGACAGTGCATCAGTGCGACATTGATGTTGATGTTGCGGGCGTCAAGACATCCATTGCTACACATGCAAGCGCCATGTGCACCACCAGAGCGTCGTAGCCTTGTTTCTTTTGGTGTTCCTTTTTGGTGCATGAATATCGCCTGAGCGGGAGGGACTCCCCCTCTCCCAAGCATTTGCGGCACGCATCACCCTGAGGGGGGAGAGGACTCCCTGTCCCCCCTTTTACCCCCCTCCCCCTGCGTTTCTTCCTCCTGTTCCCCCGCGTGCACATTAAGTGCATATGTTGGGCTACCAGCGGTGCAGCAAGAAACCTCCAACTGTCTGGAGGGTGACAACGGGTCAAATCCTACATCTACCAGCGTATACACACTGTATCAACTGCAGTGATGAAACAGTCCAGTTTCTGCTGTTCTAGGCACACTGCGCAGCTAAGATTGCTATGAAGCGTTTGAGCTGTTTGTATAGCTGAGCGCCTATTAAGATGCAGCTGCTTCGTCTTAATTGCACATGCGCAGTTACACCAAATACTGTCATACTGCGAGGAATGGGACTTTTACTACGTTTGTCCATTGTATCAAAGGCGGTAATGCGGCAGGCAGCAGTGCCTGAGCTGAAGTGACAGGCTAATGAACATCAATGTACGATTACTGCTGTTCTAGACACACAAGTGTTTTTAACCATGTATACACGAGCTGCTCGTATAGCTGGCCTTCTAATCAGTTGCAGCTGAACCGCAGTCCTTGCACATGCGCAGTAAATATGTATGTAACACTGCCGAAATGCAAGCTCAGGTAGGCTGCCACGCTACTCTGCTGTAAGACAGACGGATCACATCCGCTGGCGAATTACGTATGTGGCACGGTAGCTTGGAAACTAAATCAGAGGGCGTCGACGTGGAAAGCTGGCTGGCATTTGCAAGATGCATGCACACATTCAATGCAACGTCGACAATACCACGCGAAGCGGTGAATACGCCTGCAAACGTAAAAAAGAGTAAAGGTCAGTGCAGTGCGAATAAGTCCATTAAAGAAGCACAGCAACACTAATCTACGAAAGGCGCGACTCGCTTGCAGCTTTGGACGACGCAAATGCGCTTCGCGCGTCCCAGGGCGGACGCGACGCGGCAGCTAGCAAGTGGTGGTGCGGTTGGTGTCCATGACCCATAGCACCGTGTTAGACGCCTCTGCTGCAAGGAAGGCCGCCACTTGCACGACAATGGATCACAGAACAGTCATTAGGATGATGAATAGACAACATACGCCTTCAATAGGATATACCTGGCATGAAGCCAGTGCATATCCACCATATCGGCCCAGCTGCCGCTCAAGCTTTGAAGCCCGTCGGCGAAGCGCTAAGCGACTCCATCCTCCATCGTCGCTGCGCGCGGGATTGCCCTATGGTGCATAGATACGCTACATAGAAGGAATACAAGTGATAAGAAAATAAAGTTAACTATCCTGTTGGATAGCCGCTGGAATGATCAGGTGTCGGGCGATCAAGCGTCGTACAACCTCATCCCAGCCGCCCACGGGCTTTGGCGCTGCCAGCGATGCAATATCTAGTCCGTGGCTACTTCTTTATACGTTTGCAACATGTTGTGACCATGAGCTAGGCTGGCGATGGAAGCGCGACATAGATTGGCGATGTTGCTCATGTTCCCGATCAAAATCCACACCTTCCCCTGGAATGCGTGCAATATATGTCTGAACATCAGCAACATCGCCGTCAATGTCGCACGCGCCTTGTAAGCGTACTCGCAGCACACGACAGCATGACGTGCTCAGCATGAAGTGTTGGCCAACTTAACCAGGCGGCTACACCACAACCGGCTCAAGGGCTAAGTTGCTTGACGGGGGGGGCATCATAACGAGGCCGGCACATGTATAGCATAGGCAGCCCCCAAACCTTTCTTGGCATCCTGCATGGTGGATTACCACTTACACACGTGCTGTCCTTGCCTGAACAACAGCAAGGAGGTGCGTGCCTCAGGGGGCATCTACCATAACTAAGCGGCCTCAGCAAAGCAACTCATACAAACGCCCAGATAGCTGGCTGACCTACAGGGACAGGCGGCAGGTTCCCGGGTAGCGCCTGCATCGAGACGAACAGGAATGAATGGATAGACGTCCACAGTGGTTCCCATAAGAAGAATACAGGGAGGAATGTGCCTTTGCCTGGGGATGGGACTGCCCAGGTACAGTTGGGGCACGCGTGCCTGAACACTTGGTGGCGGAAGGGAAGACGGTTTGCGACGGGTATAGCTGAAGGAGGGTAGGTCCCAACGGTTGGGATTCGGAACGATGGCATACATGGGAGGCGCAACTAACTAAGGGGTCGTGTCTGCTAAAACGGCACATACACCCGGCTGACGTGCATGCCAGCATATGCATGACAGAATGAATGGCCGTTACAGTGGTTCAAAGAAGAGGTGTCGGGTGGTGGACCACATCCTACATTGCAGGGAACCGCCGGGGAAAACCGCGAAACCTTTCCACACGGTATAGACTAACGCAGGCAAAGGTCTATGCCGTACGAATTGGCATGTTTTGTTTGTTGCAATACTTAGCCGACAAACCCCCCACACGCAGTTGTGCTACTTCATGTACAAAGGTGAGTGGCCAGGCCAGTATCGACCCATGGGTCCACTGGCGAGTTCCTGGCGAAAGTAGGCGAGTCGAAGGCATGTCAATGGTACTTCACCCCTCCCATGTCGTTTGCGGAAGAACCCTTCCTTGAATTGTCTGCTTAGTTGTTACAGATGCAATTTTATCGCCCGAGAGCGAGGTCAGTTCGGCAATAGAAAAAGATTGGTCTGGATTGTTTTGCCTCCTCATCTTCCTGTCCTACCACTGTGACATGTTATATCGGAAAAAGATCCAAGGCGTTAACATGGAAAAGATAAAAGAAACCAAGGAATAGTTTGCAGAAGATGCGATCCAAAAAGATAAAGTAAAAAGACCTAAAGTGGTACAAAGTGGTTCATGCATGCATCCACTCTACTGCATGCATGTGTCCCTGCGTGCATACAATGCGCCACCTCCACCCGTCCACATCCTCTATCGTCGCAAGTTATTATTCAGTATAAAGACGATGAGTAGAGAAGGCTAACAGGAAGGCTAACAACTACCGACGAATTCAGCGTGTGATTTGACACCGAGCTCCGCCGTCACTATCTAGGATTTCCTACAATACAGCAGCCATATCTAGCATCTCGCGCAGCCTTCTCAAGCGTCATTGGCCTCCAGCAGATGGCGACCGCCAAGAAGAGAACTGCAAGGGCGGGCATAGACGAGTATCTCAGTCTTGTTCTCTAGGCGTCAAGCATTACAGGTATACCCAAGGTGTAGCATCACAGCAAACAACCTACTACTCACCCTAGGAGGTCAGCCTTGGTGGGGATCTTGGGCGGTGGGGGCGGAGGCGGGGGTGGCGGCGGAGGCGGGGGCGGGGCTCCCTTCTTGATGCCCCAGCCAAAGTTACTGCGGGCGGACAGGCACGGCAGGTGTGCCAGGGTGCACCGAGGCAGGCACAGCAAATTATTCCTGCCCGCCGGGGCTGCTGGTGTGTGTGGTGATGATGCGCAGGCACGACATGCCCGACCCAACATGCAGGACCTAACCAAGAGCTGGCCCCACTCTGTGCCCCAGATAAATCTCAGCATCTACCATCCCATCCACATTAGTCCACTCACTTGGTCTTGGTGACCTGCACTCCCGGGATGCCGGTGTCCAGGGTGGCGGTGTTGGCGACGTTGGTGCCGAAGGAGACACTCTGGAGCAGGGCACGCTGCGGGATTGGGGAGCGGGGGGAGGATACGTTAACTGCAAGTTAGCAGCCGAGCATGACCTGACCCATGAACGGTGGAATTGGATACCGATAACCAGGGCCCATGTCCCTCCCACCTCAGCGCCGCTGGCCTCATCTGCCTCCAGCAAGTGACGACGGCCCAGGAGAGAACTGCAAGGGCGGGGATGATCCAGGGTCCCAGTCAAAGTGGACATACCCGTTCGGGCATCCTAGCAGCTGTAGGCTTCAAGCGGGGCTTTGAGAAAGGCTATCCAGACATCAGCCTGACCTGAAGCTCGTCACTCACCCTAGGAGGTCAGCCTTGGTGGGCAGCTTGGGAGGTGGGGGCGGAGGCGGGGGTGGCGGCGGGGGCGGGGGCGGAGGCGGGGGCGGGGCTCCCTTCTTGATGCCCCAGCCAAAGTTACTGCGGGCGGGCAGGCATGGCGGGTGTACCAGCCAGGGCGCACCAGAGTAGGTACACAGCACAGCCAAAGCGTGAAGGCAAGACATGCAGGCAAGACATGCACGAATAGAATGACATGCAGCACACTGGACTTGCATGATACATCATGGCCCAGAGGAATTGCAGGATGTGAGAAGCATGACCCCACATGCACCACTTTCCCACCGAGCCAACCGGATGGCAGGGGGCATACGGACTTGCATGCCAGGGGGCCACAGCCCCGCTTCGTTCCAGCCAGATCCCCACCGCCCATCCCCGCCCCGGCGGCCAAGTTCACTCACTTGGTCTTGGTGACCTGCACTCCCGGGATGCCGGTGTCCAGGGTGGCGGTGTTGGCGACGTTGGTGCCGAAGGAGACACTCTGGAGCAGGGCACGCTGCGGGATTGGGGGTGCGAGAGGAGCGCGGGAGGAATACGGGATGAGTGCTGGACGAAGGATGTAGCATTACGCTATTAATTACAGAGGCGGGACAGAGGCCTCAGGGCAGGATACAGCATGTGTACGCGAGAGAGTGTACTGCCCAGAAGTACACTCTGGGCAGCACACAGACTCATGGGGTTGGATAAACAGTGCTCAGTTGTCCATCCCCCTGCCCCCTGCCCCTCTCTGCTGCCCACCTCAGCGCCGCTGGCCTCGTCCGCCTCCAGCAAGTGACGACCGCCAAGAAGAGAACTGCAAGGGCGGGAATGAGGCAAGTTCTTTCTGCATAAGCAGCTACCGACATTAGTGCAAGCTTGCCATGCGGGGTTCGTGCTGTTTGTCATCTGCCCTAGCCGCTTTAAACCTAGGACTTCACTCACCCCAGGAGGTCAGCCTTGGTGGGGATCTTCGGCGGCGGAGGCGGCGGGGGCGGAGGTGGAGGGGGAGGCGGGGGCGGGGGCGGCGGGGGCGGGGCTCCCTTCTTGATGCCCCAGCCAAAGTTGCTGCGGGCAAGCACGGTAAGCGCAGCAGGGTTCACCGGGGCAGTAAGCACAGTTGTTGCTTCTTCCCCATGGCCGGAATGTCAATGCGAAGATGTGAGGACATGACATGCACAGCTCACGCATTGCACGACAACGCCAACCCGAATGCAGGGGACCATGAGATACATGCCAATCAAGGGCCAGCCTCACAGTACCCTAATACCCCCTCCGCCCATCCACATTAGTTCACCCACTTGGTCTTGGTGACCTGCACGCCCGGGATGCCGGTGTCCAGAGTGGCGGTGTTGGCGACGTTGGTGCCGAAGGAGACACTCTGGAGCAGGGCACGCTGCGGGATTGGGGTGCGGGACAGGGGCGGATGTAGCAAGTGTGGGGTACGGAAATGTTCGCCATGACCCATGTAAGGTGCGAGGCAGCTTTTCAATCATATTGTCTCAGACCCTTTTCCCTGCACTCCGCCTGTTCCCGCCCCTCCCTGCCCACCTCCGCGCTGCTGGCCTCATCCGCCTCCAGAAGGTGGCGACCGCCAAGAAGGGAACTGCAAGGGCGGCCAGGGTCCCGGACAAGTACCGGTCAGGTGCGCCTCTCCAGTCCTAATGAGTGTCCTGTGTGTATGTATGTATGTGTTCTTGCTAATGTCGTTGCCTACCCCTGGAGTATCCGCTCGCAGGCTAAAACCACTTGCCACTCACCCTAGGAGGTCGGCCTTGGTGGGGATCTTGGGCGGTGGGGGCGGAGGTGGAGGGGGAGGCGGGGGCGGGGGCGGCGGGGGCGGGGCTCCCTTCTTGATGCCCCAGCCAAAGTTGCTGCGGGCGGGCAAGCACGGCATGCACATGAGGGTGCCAAGGGGATCAGATCATATACAGCAGTTCAGGGCTCATTTGCGGTGGCGGTACGCAAGCATGGCATACAACAAAAACGCATGCCTGCCACGAAATGCGCGAATGGGGGTGCAAGAGATGACGAGCACAGAACCCCATGCTGTACATGCAATCTCGCATGCACAATCCTACGTGCACGACTCGGCATGGGGTCGACGGTGAAGCGGGGGGGTGCTTAGCTAACGGGCTGATTACTGCTACTGTGATCCAATCACCCATCCACATTAGTTCACTCACTTGGTCTTGGTGACCTGCACTCCAGGGATGCCGGTGTCCAGGGTGGCGGTGTTGGCGACCTGGGTGCCGAACGACACGCTCTGGAGCAGGGCACGCTGCGGGATTGGGGTAGGGGGGAGGATACGTTAACTGCAAGTTCACAGCCACGGATGACCTGACCCGTGAACGGTGGAATTGGATACCGATAACCAGGGCCCATGTCCCTGCCCCCTGCCCCTCCCTGCTGCCCACCTCAGCGCCGCTGGCCTCATCTGCCTCCAGTAGGTGGCGACCGCCAAGAAGGGAACTGCAAGATGGCAGTAAAACAAAGGTTCTTGGTATATCTCCAGGCGGGCATATCTATCGTCGCCATGCAATGTACCATACACCTGGCACGAGTAACGAAGGCCTGCAATAGGAAACGGCGCGAACGGTGCATGCTGGTCTAGTCGCATACCCAAGGTGTGGGAGCTCACCCTAGGAGGTCGGCTTTGGTGGGGATCTTGGGCGGTGGGGGCGGAGGCGGTGGAGGCGGAGGGGGAGGCGGCGGAGGCGGGGGCGGGGCTCCCTTCTTGATGCCCCAGCCAAAATTGCTGCAGGTGGGCGGGTAGGCATGGCATGCATCGGGGCAGGCACAGCCCTGTTACCATTTCCTCTTCAGGGCGAAACTGCGGTGGTAGTTGTGATGCACAGGCAGGATATACACGAAACGACAGACACCTACCTCCACATGCACGCTGAGGGTGCAAAGGTGCAAGAGCACATGCAGGGCGCAACGCGCCGACTTGTCAAGGGCAACCCGGGAAGCAGCGGCTCAGCTAATAATTACTTGATCCCTATATGTCAGCCCCGCTGTGCCCCAGCAATCAATTTCCCACCGCCCATCCCCGTCCATCCACATTAGTTCACTCACTTGGTCTTGGTGACCTGCACGCCCGGGATGCCGGTGTCCAGAGTGGCGGTGTTGGCGACCTGGGTGCCGAACGACACGCTCTGGAGCAGGGCGCGCTGCGGGATTGGGGGTGCGGGACAGGGGCGGATGCGGCAAGTGTGAAAGGGGAGAGTGTGCGTACCGCAGGAGTGACCCGACCCCTTTCGTGATATCCGCGGTGCCCCGGCGACCCCTGCCCCTGCCCCCTGCCCCTCTCTGCTGCCCACCTCCGCGCCGCTGGCCTCGTCCGCCTCCAGCAAGTGACGACCGCCAAGAAGAGAACTGCAAGGGTTGAGATTGACCCAGCGTGCAGTTCATGAGGCGTTAGGAAGGCGTGATGTCCCTTTACATGGGCTCCAAGCAACCACTGTCACTATGCGCGTCCGTGCTGGCGTAGTTGCTTGCCAACGCGTACCCAACACTTCACTCACCTTATCAGGTCAGCCTTGGTGGGGATCTTGGGCGGCGGGGGAGGGGGAGGGGGCGGAGGCGGGGGCGGCGGGGGCGGAGGCGGGGGCGGGGCTCCCTTCTTGATGCCCCAGCCAAAGTTGCTGCAGGGGGCCAGGCATGGAAGGCACGCCAGGGTGCGTCGGGCAGGAGCAGCATTGGTGTTGCCTACTCCCCATTGCCGCAATGCGGTGGTGTGCGCAGGCAGAACTACAGTAGCTGGCACGAATGGCACACAAGACATGACTTTGCATGTGCTTCGTGACATGCATTGGGGCCTGGGCTAGTCAGGAGGTAGAGGCCACTGACTTTCACTAGATTGCCCTTAATATCTTGCACCTAACTGATCACCGCCCATCCCCGCCCCGGCCAAGTTCACCCACTTGGTCTTGGTGACCTGCACTCCCGGGATGCCGGTGTCCAGAGTGGCGGTGTTGGCGACGTTGGTGCCGAAGGAAACACTCTGGAGCAGGGCACGCTGAAAAGGGAGAAGGGGCACAACGGGAACGGCCATTAATACAGGTACTATCAAATGCCGTTGCAGCTGCGACCTTACTACCGCTGCACACGCGGCAAGCCATGCACTGATGCAGCTACTAGGTCCTATGTGTCACATCTACAGTACCCAGCCAGCACATGCATGCAGGTACATCGTACAGAACCCCGCGTGCTGCCGCAAGCGCCTAGGATGGCCACTAATGGTTCGCAAGCACGCGCCCCCCGATGCTGTCCGCCGTATTGCCCACACTGCTTACCTTTCCAGCCTCGCTCTCGTCCCCCAAGAGTTGCCGACCCTCGGACAACCTACAATCCAGGCAAAGGGGTGGTGGCAATGTAAGGCAAATGCTTGCATGGATACACCAATGCCCATGACACACATGTAAGAGCTAAGCTGTTCTGCTGCCCACATACAGCTAGCCGCCCACGCACCTCTCTACGCCTCCCTCGGCAGCAACACCTGCGTCAAAGGCGTTGCCAGGGCGTTAGGAATCTATATTTCTACTCACCATGCCTAGGACTGCGTGCAACGTAAGTCGTGTTGCCAAATGTCGCGACATTTAAGTCTTCTAAGTGGTAGTGGTACTAAGGGCTCTAAGGTGCTCGACGCGGACCCCTGGGTCCTCATCAACCCAAATCAAGCACATGTGAGCAGTTAGTTGCTGATGACACCTACCCGTCAAGGCCAGCAGCACCAGAAGGGCAGACGACGCCAGGAGTAGCAGCAGTGACGCCGGCGCCATTCGTCGCACAGCGGCGGAGGGACCGCGGCCCCTTGAGCGGATTACTCCGCACCCCATGTCTAATGTGATTTAGGCTTCCTTTTACTACCGTACTAGCTCTTGCAAAGGACCAGAACTGATGCCTGCTTCCTGAATGTGGCGTCGGGGTTTAAGTATGGGCCGGGCCGGCCGGCACCGTTACATACCGTACCGGACCTCGGATGCCGTCTGTCCTGCACGCATGGAGTTAAGGAGTAGGGTTAACAGTTCAGGTCCTTCGCCTGGCTGGCCTACCTTGGATACTGGATGTGTTCGGTTCGCAACTTAAAGTACGGCGGACTTCGATGGACCTAACGCCCAACCCACATCGGACGGATGAATAAGAGACCAATGCGTGCTTGCGGATGCCGCTAGCAACCTCTACAACAGATTCCTTAACATTTATTATACCGGTAGTTTCCAGGCTGCCACTGCTGCCCTTTGTTACCTTCCACAAGCATACATGAATACCGGTAATGCAGAATTTTAGAGGTGCGGTTGCATGAACAACAGGACGTTCCGAAGCGACAATGACAACGCGCTTGCCTTCCTTCATACAATGTAGGCTAGCAACTGTGGAGTGTAACTATGTAGGGCGTAAGGTCGGGATTCCAGGGCCATTCTCCGGTTCATGACTCCTGTTGCATAACTACAAGTTCTCAAGGCTATCGGACTCAAGATGCTACCCAGCATGACAGAGGCCCGTGACACCCGGACGTGGAGGCAGACGAGCTGCTGCTAACGTACCAAGCAGCATCTAGGTCAACCAACAAGAGCGCATGACCTTCGAGATAGTGCAGAATAAGAGATTCCCAGCCTCGAGGCGGGGTCCTGTAGGCACGTCAAGGCGCGTAATTAATTGGAGGGCGGCTGCACCGTGGTTGACTGCATTGACCCATGGGTCGGTTAAGCATGCCGTTGCGTACAGGTCAATCAGAGGCATGTATGCTCATGCAAATGGCTCTCGGCTACCCCTGGTGAACTGAGCCGATGCGGGCTGTACGTAAACATACAACCGCCATTGAAGCGTATACATGGGGCTGTCCTGGCGCTATAGAAAATATCGAGCGTTAGCTCATGACAGCCGCACATTCATGTTGCGAAAATTACAACCTCAAGTATAACCACTGAAGCACCACGAAAGCATAACATCCATTTAGGTGCTACGCAGTGCTGTTTGAGGTACAAACAAGGCGCCATCATGGCATATGAATGGCCGCAACTAAACAACCGCAAGTCAAGCGAGGACATCCAAGATAACAGGAGATGGCATACACCAGCCTGGCTGTCCGGCAGCACACCACCGCCGCAAAATGCAGCCACACCGGGCTTGGCAGCAAAGGCAAGCCCCATGTAGTAACTTTCCATGAATGACATTACACCCCCTCTAAACACCTCCATCATCAATGGTTTGCCGCAACCTGTGCACGTTGGTAATGCCATGTCCAGCGGAACACCGACATGCACAGTACGGCATATATATGCATTGCCGCATGCTCTTTGTGGCTCCTTGGAACATCTTCGGTAGCCAGCAATCATCAAGCTGCTTCGTTGGTTACGGCATCACGTCCCCCATTCATCATATGCCTATGAAGCATTACTCCGTGAATGGCAGCATACCCTCGACATCTCTCCTTCCGTGCATACCGTCCTCCCTGCCAAACGCGCTTGACCATCTTCCACCCTTACCCTTTAACAGTCGTCACTGTTCCCACCACGGCTCCCTTCCTCGCTGTCCCCTTACCTGCAACCCATCCTCCCCATGCACCTCGTCGCCATCATCCAAGCTCCTCACCTCCGTCCTCATCCTCGTCCCCACCCTCATCCCTCGTCCATATCCCCACCCTCGTCCACGTCCCCACCCTCGTCCACGTCCCCACCCTCATCCGTGTCCCCATCCTCATCCGTGTCCCCATCCTCATCCGTGTCCCCATCCTCATCCGTGTCCCCATCCTCACCCATCAGGGCCGCCATGACCCCCTCCTGCTGCGTCCGGTAGCCCGCCTGCATCCACCACTCGTCACCGCTGTTGTTCAGAACCCAAGTCCATATCAGCGTTGTCTGCGGCGACATGCGGCGAGCCCACCGCAAGTTCGCCGCCTCAGCAATAGTCGCAGGCCAGTCCACGGGGCAGCCATGCCTCAACAGCCAGCGCAGCGCGTCCGGGTTAGCCTCCAAGCATGACTTCAAAGTCTTGCCGGAGCAATCCCAGGGGCAGCCCATCCGCCGCAAGCAGCGCAGCGTGAACAGGTCGTTGTTGTTCGCCGCCCGGGCGTAGGCGTTGCCATCCTGCGGGCAGTGCCGTTGCAGCAGCGGGGGAGTGGATGGGTGGCAAGGCGCGTGAGGGCGACAGGGTAAACGCTTGGCACCTCAAAGAGTGTCTAAAACCATCAAAACTGTGAGTTGGAAAATGAGAGGTTTGCCGAACACGGCTCCCCCGCTAAACACAGCTGCAAAGAACCCTCCCATACAGGACAGGCTGGGCAGAGTCGCATGTAGCTGCCCTTTTCTTCGCCTACCGGCAGTGTCAAGGCACTCCCTACTAGACTCCACATGGTGCATGCGGGCATCGCATGAGGCCCACATGCGGCCAAACCGGGGCTGACAGGGCCGTTGCAACGCTGCCGTACAACAGCCACTGCCCCCCCCTCCCCGCTGCCCAACTCCCTCTCACTCACCCCCCGCGAGCACCCCTGCTCCCGCAGCCACTCCAGCACCTCCTGGCTCCCCGAACCCGCCGCGCCACACAGTACGGCTGGCCCCATCGGGCAGCCCCGCTCCCGCAGCCACCGCAGCAGCTCCAAGTTGCCCGAACGCGCTGCCGAGTCAAACACCCACGTGCTCAGACTAACCGCCGGCTCCTCCTCCCCCTCATCTCCTGCAGTGCCGAACGTCTGTACCAGCCAGGCCACCAGCGGCAGGTGCCCGCCTTGCGCCGCGATGCACAGCATGCCCTGCGGATCGCCTTGGAACACGCGTAACCCTTGGGAGTGCAGAAGGGTTATCACGCCCAGATGGCCGCCGTGTCCTGCCTCTTCAACGCACCCCACATCCGGCCTGATGCCCTCTGCCAGCAGCGCCGCCAGCACGTCCTGCCTGCCCGCCTGCACCGCCGCCTCCGCCACCCGCCCGTCCACAGGGCAGCCCCGGGCCCGCAGCCAGGTCAGTCGCTGCAACGCGTCCAGGCAGGCGGCAGCGACCCTCCGGCACATCAAGGGGGTCTGTGGGTAGCCCAGCCCCTCTAGCCACAGCACCTTGGCCTGCCAGTCGGGGGTGGGGCTGCATGCAGCGGCGGCCAGGATGATCGCCCTGGGATTCCGTTCCAGCAGCATCTGCTGCTGTTGTTGCGGCAGCATGAGCAGCGGGAGGTGCTGCACCTGCCCCGCTGCCTGCTCCTGCTCAAGGGGCCACGTGTGGTAGCGCTCCTGCAGGGTCTGCAGGTCGCAGCCCTCCGCCACGGCTGCCAGCAGCAGGCCATTGGTTATGGGCTCGTCGGTACGGATGCTGGGAAACAGCTGCGTGTCCATCTCCCTGCGGATACGCTTGCTGAGCAACCAGTCCGCCAGCTCTAGGTGACCCCCCCGCAGCGCCTCGTACACTGCACCCGACCGCCAAGGCCACGCGTTTTCCAGGCCCCACTCGCACATCGCCTGCTGCCCCGCAGCAGCTGCAGCTGCCAGCGCGTCTTTAAAGAGGCAGATGTAGCGGCGCTGTATCCATCGGCAGCAGGCCGCTTGGCCTGCAGCCGCAGCGGCGTTTATGACCTGGCTGTCTGGAAGGCAGCCGGCAACCTTGACTGCATACTTGAGGTTAGCCAAGCTGCCGCTGCGCGCCGTCAGGGACAGTAGCTGTCGCCGCTGGGCCAGTGTCATGCAGCGGAAGACGCCGTTGCGGCCCCAGTGCCGTTTGAAAGCATGGTGCGGCACGGGCAGCGACAGGCGCACGGCGGAGTAGGGAGGGCCGCGGAATAGCGCGGCAGTAGCCTTGTTGACCAGCCGCACGTTGCAAGCGACCTCGTTGGGCGGCAGGAAGCTAGTGACGCGCTCCGCTAGCTCGGGGGGCAGCTGCGGCCAGATGCGAGCCGTCTGAGCTGGCTGTTGCTGAGTTGGGGCGGTACGAACCATCTGCCGCTGTGCACTGGGGCCTCTGCTAGGAGCTCGGGCCGCAGGCTCCTGCAAGGGTCGGCACCGTTGCCAGCGTGCAAGGCGCTCGAGTAAGGAACCCATGCGGTTTGGCTGTGCACGCTTAGAGCTGCTGGAGTATACAGAGCGGTGCAGCGGACAATAAACGTAGCAGCTACGCATGAAGTAAGTGGCTGGAGTTCTCCGGAATTAGGCAGCAAAGGGGACGGACAACGGGCGCTGTGAAACGCACAATTATCACACCTGAGCGCACGTTCGCTGCTCCTTGCCACTAGAACGGCGTTGCAGCCCATCAAGACCTTCGCCAGTTACGCTGTGTCCGGTATAAGCGTTGCCCAAGGTACTGCTGCTGCCCCGCCGTGACTCTCTTTGCAACCCACAAGTGATGCCGGCGCTGTGGCGAGATACGTTGTCCAACAACACAGCGCAACTTGTCGATAGTTCCCAGCGCCGTTCCCCCACGCTATGCGAGCAAACGTCTAGCACAACGTCGCGGCTATGATTAGACATGCCCGTACTAGGAAGATAAAGGAATAATAACGTGGCTTGTGCCTTCCGACCCCGACACGTATATGAGCCCTAGAGGTACGTGAACGCTGTCTGGCAACAAACGACGCGTTATAACAACCTGTCCACAGGTCTTACATATACCTTACTATGCGCCTACACCAAAAAAAGCTGCTCATCGTCTCAGGTGAGGACGTCATGCGGCTGACCCGTGGGCCTTCCATACATGGCGCCCGACCTTGGAAGCTCGTCAGTCACGTGCAACCGACGAACACTTCCTCCTTCTTCTTCTTTATTCTTCTTTCTTCTTTCCTCCTTTCCTTGACACGAGTGTTGAAAAGATTACACCTTCATTGACCCCGTGAAGGCATATCGGCCGGGCGCGCATCCACTTTACTAAGTGCTGCCAAAAAGATGGACCGTCAGTTTGGCTCTCTTAAGTGGTTACTTACATCCCCTCTGCCTCATCCAAACGAACGCAGTTGCATCAGGCGCTACAGCACCACGGGCGCACGGGGGCGTACTTTCCAGTTGAAAGCATGCATGTCGTGAGGAGGGCAAGAGCGGCTATTTTCCGTAATAAGTATTTCTCTGGGGCTTCACGCGACAAGACCACACTCGGAGAAATCCGCGCTGCTAGCCCCACTACACCTGCCCTTCAACCCGGCAGACGTTGGCACTCCTTGACACACCTGCAACTCTGCATTCCTTTTGACCCACGCATGCACGCGCTCCTTCCAAGCGCTCATCCAGGACGCCAACATCCAGGGCGGCACGACCTCACATCTCAGCCTCTCGAAACACGTGACGATGGGTTTGCTGGCACCACTTGGGGATTCAGTTGTCTCCCGGGCGTCCACCCTTAGACCGCATGCTCCTGCAGCACGACAAGGGACGGAGGCGTGCAGCGGCCAGAGCGGCGCTTGACCAGGAAAAGCGCAGTGAAATAAAGGCATGGCAGGTTCACAGCACGGTAAAGGAGAGATGTGGCTGTGGAGGAAAGCCTAAGGGAGGTCGGTCGCGAAGTGGAGAGAGGAAGGGGAAAAGAAGAATCCCAAGGGGTGGGCAGCCGGCTCCTGCGGGGTGCGCACGCCTGTGGCCGCATTCCGAGAAAGGGCCGGAGGGGCGATGCAGGTGCTGCAGCGGGTGGGTGGAAGGCACAGAGGACAAGGAGTAGACGCGAAGCACCCAACGCACAAGAGCCGAAGAGGAGTCCAAGAGATGAGGGGAGAGGGTTGAGGGGACCATCAATGCTCCCGACCTCGCACCCACCCGACCCGCGGCCCCCTGCTGATACGTCAGATCCACCTGCCAGGTCCACTCCCCGTGCCAACGGCCTAGCAGGTCCACCGCTTAGTGGTGCCTTGAAACCCAACCAGCACCCAGCATTGACCTCCCCTGCACCCACCCACCCACCCTCCGAGCCGGCACGAACACACCTGCTGCAGTAACCCCAATGCGACGTGTTCGTACCACCTCCGCAGCACCCCCGCAACAGCGCCTGGGTCCTATGCTTTGGCCCCTGCCTACACACGCCCTCGCAGCCTCCTGTTGCGCGCAGTGAGGCTGGCGCTGCGAGGTGCGCCGCCAGTGCTGCTCCACAGGGCGGGCGGGGGCAGCACTCTACCGAGCTGCCGTACACACAAGCAAGAGAGACAGGCGGGAGGGGGTAGATAGGTACGTGGCAGCCCCTCCTTCACGGCGGGAAGCCACCGTGAAGCCAACGAACCACGCCGTCTACCGCAGATGTGAACGGATAAGGGAGGGGTATTGGGAAGCCGCGGGAGGAGGGAGGTTAGAAGGCTGGAGGGTTAAGGCACTCTGGTGGGAGGGGCGCTCTGGTTGGCTACTTACGGAAGGAGCAGCACAGGGATACACAGCGGCGCAGGTAGGATTGTCGCGTAGCGTGGGATAGATGTTACGCGCGCTGCCCTGGCGTTGGCCTCTCAACCAATCACCATTACTGCTTTGCACCAAAAACTCTCTGCCGATCACTGTTTCTTGCTATGTAATGAATGGATGCAAGGACGCAACAAGTCTTAAGGAATCTCTCCACACCTTAAGCCGGGAGCTGCGCTTGCCGCAATCCAGTTATGCGAACCTACGAAGTGCAGGCTTAATAACTGCCAAAGTATACACCACTAGCGCCGACAGCAGTCCAGCCATGGCCAAAGCCAGCGCCTTGGGATCGTCAATGAAGATACCGCCATCAAAAGAAGCCATCCTAAAGTAGATGCCTAAGCAAAGCCTATCGTCGTGATAGTACAACGCGTCTACTTGCGCTTACAAACAGGTTTGGTGTAGCAAAGTTCTTGTCCTGAAGTTATGTTGTAACCACTGGCAGATGTAACTCAAGCATTCCCGTTCAAAAAGGTGTCCAGCACCAATGAAGCAGTAAAACAGTAAGCGGCGTTACGGGCTGGTTAAGAGCTGTACGGCTGTGGAATCTGGATCGCCCTGAAAATTGGATCGCCAACCGGTTCCAGTGCTTTCCTTTTGCACATAAGTTTGTTTGTTCTATCCCCTTGTAATTTCCGCATTCTTCTGCATGCGTCGACAGACGACCATAGCATATGCTAAACTCACCTCACGCAGATGCGTGTTTTGCTGTTGGCTGGAACTACCAGAAGCCTGGACGCATTGGCTGACCATCCGATGGTTACATCCTTGTACGGGCTGGCCTCGACGAATGCCATTGCTCATAGGCAAGGGCCATCGTCCCTTATCCTTACGACTCGGCCTGCCACCCCCACAATGCAGCTGAAGCATCGAGCAAGGGCCGCTTTGCAACAGAAGTCAAGAATCGCAGCAGCTGGTATACAGTGAGCAGGCATGGCGCACGGGGCATGGAGTACAGGTGCGTAATGCAGGGCAACTGGGCCTCGCCAAACGTGGTACAGCAGCTTGTGGTGCGCAGGGCTGCGTACAGCACAAGTCGACCTTTAAAGCTTATCCAGCGCCCCACATACACCAACAGTCGCTCCCTCGATTGGGGGATCACACTTCACGCGGTTAGCGCGCCTCCGGGTTGCAGGCGCCTGACACACGCCTCAGTGTTTGATACGCGTTAAGTCATGGCCTGCCAATCCACAGACCATGGCAGTGACCCTTGGGTCAACCTCCATTGTCTTATGTCACAACCAAGCGGAACCAATCTCGAATGCGTTCTGAAAATTACTAGGTATTGGTTAGATCTGTCATTAATAAACAGTATATGAGCAATATGATGGGATTACCATCGTATCGTTGAGACATGACAACGAAACGTTTGATATGTATTGACATAGCGCGCTATGTGTTCACATGCAATACAAGCTGCAACAGCTCCCTGCGTTCAAGCCAGCCTGCAAGCTACCCACCACTACAACATGGGCACGGCTTCACGTATAAAAGAATTCGGAGCGTGCAAGAACATGTGTGAAAGAATTAGCCTGAACCAACGCGCTGCACCCCGTTACTCCACCCCGTCACCCCTGTGCCTTTCACGCCTCATCCACTCGCCGCCCCCGCCTCCTGCGGGCGCATCAGCGTCAGCGTGCCGCTGATCCGCCCGTCCCGCAGGTACTCCTCCCAGGCCGCCAGACCGTACCCAGCAACCCCGCCACCACTCCCTTCGCCCCGCAGCCCCCGGCCCCGCCCCTGCTCCTGCCTAAGCGGCAGCACCCCCGGCCAGCCCTTCCCCGCACCCACCTTGAACACGCTCCTGCCTGCCCGGAAGGCCCCCACCGCCACTTCATCACGCACCGGACCCCGCCACCGCACCACCCCCATGCGCGCCTCCAGGCTCACGACCGCAGCAACAACCTGACTGCTGCTGCTGCTACTGCCATTGCTGCCCCCATCACTACCCTCGGCGCTGCCCGCATCCCATCCACCGCTGCCGCCACCGCTGCCAGTTCCTCCGCCTCCACGACTCCCGCTGCTGCCGCCTTCAGTACTGCCGTACAATCTCGATCCCCGCACTTGATAGGTCTGCGGCAGCTCGCACTGCAGGTACAGCCCTGCCGCCTCCGCACCCCTCCTGAACTTGATGAAGGGCCGCCAGCTGAACCCCCAGGCAGCCACCCGCGTCCCGCCAGTCACATACACCACATCGCCCTCCTCTCCTCCTCCCTCCCCCTCACCCAGCTGCCGCAGCGCTTCCAGAGCCCGCTCGAGCTCCGATTGCGGGATGTGCCAGTCAAAGGTAAGCCCATCACCCCCGGGGCCGTCGTCGCTCGCAGCCGCAGGCAAGCATTGCGCCCTGGGTCCCCTGCTGTACGCCGGGGACGATGACGTCATGCCGTACAGCTGCGCTCCCGCCTGTTCCAGCGCCGCCCGCTCCGGCGCCGAGAGGGGCGCCATGCAGAGACTGCTCATGAAGGCAGCCTCGCTTGGGCGTACGGCGAACCAGCCGGCCGGGGTGCGTGGGCAGCGCTCAAAGTCGGCTGCCAGAGCTGGCAGTACGGCACCGAGGTACGGCCAACCCAGATAACGCAGCCGTACTTGCCGGCTGAGTCGTGCGCGGGTGGTTGCGTCGGTGCTGGCGTAGTTGGCTGCCATCCAGGTTGCGAGTAGCAGCAGCACGCTGGACTCGTTGTCGGTGGCCAGGTCGTCAGAGGCGAGGAGGGCCTCCAGGGCCACTGCGGGGAGGTGGAGGAGTTGTTGGAGCAGATCCGGCGTGTTGAGGACGGCAAGGGTACTGCCGAAATTGGCAGCTAGCTGGGCTTGAGCAATGCCGAGGAGGGATTTTAATGCCGGATCGAAATGGATATCAGGAAAGACCTCCTGGCAGGCGTAGAATTCCAGTATAGCTGCCAAGGATTGAGATGTCCGGAAAGCGTCATAGTCGGTGGTCCTGCTGGACTGCAGCTTTGCAGCGATGCAGTCTGTGCAGGCGCGAGGGCAGCCTTCAATGCTCAGGTAGGAAGCCTGACGGTAAACTTCCAGCGCCTCGCGGATGGTGGTCACCTGGACTTCCCCCGTATACGCGAAGCGGATAGCTGCGTGTGCGCTTGGAATCTCGGCATAGCCGCTTAGGGGAATGCGCAGCTCGGGAATGCCAGAGCCAGCACTCCGACCGGATGGCGAAGATGCACGCGAGCGCTTTGGGGTTTTCTTATCACGTCGTTCCTCTCGAGTTCCATCGAATGCCCAGCGTTGTAGCTATAGGAGCATAAAGAATGCAAGCCCATTCAGGATTCCCAACCGCGAGTTATGATTGCTGGATGCCAAATAACAACTGGTTAAGCGCACCTGCGCGTTGAACCGTTCTGAAGCATGGCTAAGAACCAGCCGATGGCCTGGCAACGGGTCGCCTAGTATGGAAGCATGATGCTCTCCGCGATGACGAGCCTTCCCGCCATTCCCAACTCGCTGTTTCTTGGCTGCCGGTTCTGCAAGATGGTGGTCGTTTTCTTGGTAGAATATAATCTTACAATCTGAAAGGCTGTGACTGCCAAACAGGGACGCTATAGCCTCCGCCAAAAATGGGTTTCCTTTGGGCATTGCAAGTACTTTCAATCCATGAGAGATGTACGGTCTACCGGTAATAGCCTTTCCTATGAACACAAGGAACAAAACATGGGAGTGTATGCGCACTGCGTCCATTTATCTTCCATCGTACGAGCGTAGTTTTGTACTATAGTGCGTATGATCTCTATTGTTTTACTTTTTGACTTTTCGAAGCCTTAGATGATGAAGCTTTTGTACATTTATTTTCTTAACTGCTTTGTGTTTGCTTGTTTGTGCTGGCGATCCATGAGCCTTCTGACTCGGACTGATCTTACGAGCCCTTTAAAAAGCTTGTTACACAAACACACATGTAAGTTAAGCTTGATCAGGCTGACAGGAGGACAAGCCGAGGCCAAAGGCAGGGCGAAAGGCTATCAGAGTCATCCTTAGGAGCCTAACATCGCTTCAGCGATTATATGATAACCGACATATATAATACAAAGGTGTGACAGGGTCATCGATGTCTAAAGTATGCCTTACGGGACACATGCCCAGTACCGGTACTGCAGTCTTGAGCACGTTCACACAGCATGCGCAGCCGGTTCTCAGCCATGCTCAGGTCTGGGCGGACCCGTTTGAAACGATGGTGGAAGGGTTGGGGAAGCCTAGGAAAGTTGATTGGAGGTCGACCGACGTGAAACAGGGCCCTGCGCAGCTCCGGGCAGACCTGGATTGGATTTGCTTCCGAACTCATGTAAACCACCTGTACACACCTTTTGAAGCTGTTGCCGTGTATTACAAATGCAGAACTCCCGCATCCCACGCCTGCCGTAATGCGATTGCCACACCAGTTGTGGTTCATGCGACTATTGACTGCACCAGTTGACCCATGGGTCGCAAGCTCTAAAATAACTAACCTTCCCGGCCAATACCAGCATCACTCTCTCCCATAGTTCATCACAAACAGTCAATGTGTTCCATCCATGTAATCGATATGTCAGCAGCCAGCAGGGGCCCCCCGGTCAGGAGGGGTGGGCTAGACTGAGGACATGCTCGATGGCGTCTTCGGCGTCTGCGAGAGATAGCATGCAAAGCTACGAAACAAATTGAGGTTATTGCAACATATTATTGCAGCGCATAACGGTGAAGGTTAAAACATAGACAGAGGGCTTGTTCGGCAGCACCCAGGCTCTATATGTCGAACGATCGCCCGAATACGCCCTTTGCCGCAAACAACCTCGTAAGTCACCTCATGACACTTTCCCAGCTGCTTGCTGCACGTCATCTGCAATAGGCTATTTGGTCTTTACTAGCGTGGAAAACATGCCATTGCGTCATTGCTGAACAAGGATGCGATCGGCATCATAGAGGCACTACGCGTAGCTTTTCCACATCGCCCAAGAATAAGCAGAAAGCCATCACCATATCCTCGGTAATCTCTACTTATTCCCAGTATCCCTTCTCGCGGCGTGTCCGCAACCAGTTGGTCTAGCCCGCTAGCCAACACCCCCTGCTGAATTGCGAAAGATGTCGGCTGCAAGAGAATTGAGCACATGGCTGCGCCAAGCTTCCTCTGCATTGGACCAGATAGTCACCTTCCAAGATGCAGGCGCCCGCCAAGCGCAGAACACCACGGTACCAGGCCAAATGCAGGTCCAGATCGAAGCACGCTACGCTACCTTGGAGGAAAGCCTGAACCAAGTCATGGCTCAAACTGAAAACGTAAGGAGGTCGCCAGAGCTCGTCCGCTTGATAGCTGAGCTGCGACTCGTACCGCGCGCAGCAGCAGCTTTGCAAGCCGACCTGCCGCAGTCAAGAATGCTAGCCAACAGCGGCGGGGGAAGTGCAGCACCAACGGCGTCAGCAGGGGTGTCTAACTCCAACGCCCTCACCTGCGCCTCCACGTCTCCTGGCACGGACCCTTCCTCCACCACCGCTTCTCTCGCCGCTGCCGGCCCCGACACGGTGGCAACAGGCGCACCCATCAACCTCCCGCTTTGGAAGCTGGCGAGCGCAACTCATCAAATGGCAACCCTGATGCGGGTCTTTGCTGCCTGCTCCTGCCTAGCCAACACTGCCCAGGAGCCAGCTACGGGCGACGTTAACGGCTATACCGTCATCCTCCTTGCCTCTGCTCGCTTTCGCGTGTTCATGCAGCTGTGTGACGTCACCGTCGGACGCGCCATGACCGCTGCCGTACGCTTCGTCCAGTCGGAGGTCTGGCCGCTAGTGGGCCAGCAGCGGATGGAGCGGGCGATGGCGGTGTCAGGATTCCCAGCGCAGCAGCAGGCAGCCGGGCGAGGGCAGGGACGTCGGGGCGGAGGCAGGGCAGCGCAGAGTGCTTCAACAGGCTCCCGGCAGTCTTCTCGGCCCTCCGCAGCTGCTTCGACGGCCACACACCCCGCCTCCGCGTCCACCTCCAGCCAACGTGATACGGCGAACCTGCTGCGGCATGTCGGGTTCAAGGCGGCTTCCATGGTGACCATGGCGACGGATACGTTGTACTACCTGGGGACTTGGTGCGGCGCGTACGGCGACAGCGGGCAGCAGCCGCAGCCGGCGGCGGTGAGCCCGCTAGTGCAGATGCTGCGACAGAGCGGTGTCATGATGGCGGCTTGCGGCGCGCTAACATCTGCGCCGAATCTGTGGGACCTGCCGGCTGGCGGCTCGGCCCTGGATGACGACGTGATGATGTCTCTGCAAAGCGCAGCTTGCCGCACAATGCTCTTCGCGGCCCAGATTTGCAAGACATCCGAGGGCCCAGTAACTGACGCCAACAAGCAGGCCCTGTTGGAGGTCCTGGCGGCTCCCGAGGTGGTGGAGCTGCAGCGGAGGCTGGTGGAGGCGGTGGTGACGGATGGAGGTGGCGGTGGAAGCAGTGGCAATGCGGACAATGGTGGCGGCGCTCGGGCAGGGCGGGCCCTCCTTAAGGCGATGTCAACCCTCACAGGATGCGCGCGTCTGGAGCCGGTGCATGCCAAGGTGTTGCGTCACGTGTACCTCGTTTGGGAGCAACTCCACAACTCTCCACACCCGCATGCCATGGGCCCCAGCGCTGCCGACACGGTACGGCTGTCGCTGCGGCTGGCGCGGGCGTTACATCGCCTGGCGTGCGGCCGCGGTGTCGACGGACAGTACGACACGGCGGCGGCAGGTGCAGTACCAGATGCCGTGTTTGCGAGTTTCGATCTTTGCTTGGAGGCCGTGGGGATGCGGATCCGACTGTTAAAGATGGAGCCGGCTAACGCAGAGACACTGATTGACGGCTTGGAGGCGTTTGCCTGGGGGCTGGCGTTTGACAATGAGATCCACATGGGCCGCTGGTCCCAGGACGAGGCCTGGCGCGATCAGCTGCTGCGCTTCTTGATTGATCTGTCCGGTACGTGTACTAGCTAGGTGATCGTGGGTCATCGCCGTTTAAATTGCAGTGAATCGCTAGTGTAACATGATACCGGTATGTTTTCATCCATGGCCCGTGCGTTGTGGCTTGAAGACCTGTCGCACGCATGTAAGGAGATTTCCGTGGGTGTTTTCCCCAGAAATTGCTTTCATGTCTTACATGCCCCAAGCCGTCGCCTAGGTTGGTTGCATGTTGAGTCGCTCCTTTCGCCATTTTCTGCCCCTCGTCGCCCTGCACAGGAGCCACTTCACAGCTGCCAGCCAACCTGCGCCGAAGTCTGCCGTTGCGCCTGGGCCGGACACGCCTGCTGTGCAACATTGACACGCTGGTCCGCCGCGCCGCTGGTGCTGAGCTAGCCGCCGCTGCACCTGCCGCCGCGTCCGCCTCATCTGCCTCTACGTCCGCGTCTGCATCTGAGCCGACAGCCGCGCTTGCGGACGTGCCTCCCTCCCTGCCCTCCGTGTTGTCCTGCGCGGCCAAGGTGTTGTGGCCGGTGCTCCCAGACATGCTGCTGGAGACATGGGCGGAACAACTGGGAACGGCGCAGGAGCTGGGCGGCGGTGGACGTGACGGGGGTAGCCCGGAGGCCGGTAGCAGCAGGCGCGAGCAGCAGCAGCAGCAGCAGCGAGGTGGTGGCGCCGACAGCGACCCATGGGACGCTAAGCGGGAGCTCGGGTTCTTCATCACGGTCAGCAAGCTAGCGCTGCGAGAGGCGTCTGGAATGAGTGAAACAGCAGCGGCACGCGCACGTGCAGTGGCACCGGAGCCAGCGGGGCCGCTGGCGGAGCCGTCCGCAGCTGCAGCAACTGCGGTATCCCCAACGGCAGCGAGGTTGAGCGACCTGCTCGTACTAGCGCTGAACCCGAACATAGGGCTACGGGCGGTATGGCAACGCGCGCCGCCCGTACTACCTGCCTCCGCCGCCTCCCGCCTGACGGAGGTGCTGACGCTGGTGGCCCGGGCGGCATGCGTGCTGGCGGTGCCGCTGCTGCTGCGGGCGGCGGAGACGCTGGGAGGCGTACAGCGGGACATCGCGGCGCTCGGAAGCGCGTTGGAAGTTGCCTGCGACGGTTTGGAAGCCCTGATGTCGCTGTATGGCAAGGTTCCGGCGGCGGCGCTGCTGGCGGCGCAACCGCACCGGCTGCTGGCGGCGCTGGGGGTGATGCTGGGCCGCATGAGGGCAGCTGCTGCGGAGATTACAGCTGGGCTGTCACCGGCGGAGGCAGATGCCTGGCAGCAGTGTGGGAATATGGCTGAGGCGGCTCTGGCGCGGGCACGGCAGCTGCTGGCGGCGATGCTGGGGGAGGTACGGCAGGAGAGGGGCAGCGAGTTGGCGGCGTCTGCAGAGGTTCCGGCAGGTCCGGCTGTGTCGCTGCGTGCGCATGCGTTGGCCCTGTTGGGCTGGCCGGCGGCGGCGGCAGGTGTGACGGCGGCCGCTGGTGCCTCATGGAACAGCGCCGGTGTGATGCTGCTGGAGGGTCTGGCGGGCTGGGACACGGCGGGGGCACGTGCGCTGCGGGCGATGTGGCGGGCGGCGGCCGCAGCGGATGGGGGTGCGCTGCTGGACTGGGCGGCGCAGCGGCTGCAAGGAAGGGCAGGGGAGTGGCTCAACGATGCCGTGCTGACGTACGTCCAGGCGAGGGTCGCGAGGGAAGGCGGCACCACAAGCGGCGGAGGCACACGCCG